AAAAAAATTGAAACAGTCCTACAGGATCCTGCTCATGTAGAGAGAAAAAACACTGGTAAGTGAAGAGTAGCATAGTTCAAGCCACCCACCTAGTAAAGGACAGAGAATGAACTCAATGAACCAGAGAAGGTTTCTTGGAGAAGGTAAGTCTTAATACTGATGGTAGAAGAAAGAAGAAGGGAATCACTGATTTAGACACAACTGATAGGACCAGAGAGCAGACGCTGACCACGGGTAGGCCATCTGAGCTCACAGCCCTGGGCCTGTGCAGAATGAGGAAGAAGGCATACTAGCCAATCCCTCTAGTTCTTCCAACTCCAGCACTCTGGGCCACTTTATACCTCTAAAGTGAGGGGGGCCGGGCGACGCAGGGGTTGCTAGCATGAATTGACTTGGGGAGAGTAAAAAGAGGCATTACGTAGAAAGGAATAAACCAGGCTCGTGAGACACCCCACCTATAAGTAATCCAGGTATTCTAGCTTGGCAAATTCAAAGTTTGACCAGTCACCATGTAGGAATAGGCTCTATAAAGCAATCCTTGAGCAGATAGAGACAGAGACAGAGAGAGAAAGAGAATAAGCTCACTTGAATGCAAAGAAGTTGAAATGTGTCAAGAAGGGAGGGCTAGGTCTAGAAAGGTGCCATGGCTTTAAGATGACTCATCCATCCCCTCTACCAAAAAACACTGCCCAAGGACTGCTGCCAGCTGAACTGTACCAGCCCTGGATGCCGAGTGCTATGTTAATTCTCAAGTTTTTCAGCTAGGTGCTGTGTGAGCTACGTCCACAGAAAGAAGGGAGGCCCCTGGAAGAGAGACCAGACCAGAGCAGGACAGCAGGGCTTGAGGAGCATTTGAATGGCACAGGGAAATGGGGGCAGGGTTGGGAGACCTCTAGTGATTTGCAGAGCACAAGTTTTGGGGTCTCTCCTCCTGCCTTGAAGTATGCATGCACTGCCCTCTGCCCTGCAGTCATGACATTTCCAGAGAGCAGGGAATGTGGCAGGAATGCAACTTGACAAGGCAGTGAATTTGATACGGGTTCTGAAACATGGTGCAGGGAAATCCCCAAACAGAAGCACCCTGGCTGGTTTCCGTCAGTAGGTAACTTTCCATTGCAACTGGCACCCTCCACCCAGGTCTATTCCAAAGAACCTATTGCTCACTAGTAATCTGTTGGGCATGGAAAGTAAAAGAATCAATGAGCCCAGTTCCTGGACTTGAGAAAATACCGGGGAAATCGACATGGAAAAACAAAATGTACATTCGTGTCACAAGAGTGAGAATGGAGAGGGTCTATAATGACCAGGGGCTAGACTGAAATATAGGAGCCTTACAATGGGTGTGCCAGAGAGAACTGGAGCAGTGGAAGGAGACTCCCTGGAGGAGGGACATCCTTCCAGGCATGGCAATCAGCAAATACAGGGGTGAGAGGGAGGCAGGAGAGTATTTGAGAAGCCAGGGACAAATGCTGGAGTATGTGATGAGACAGGCCATCACGAGGGCCTGGACTGAAGCAAACCGCCAGGTGCACTCACACACATGAGTGCCCGTGTGTGTTCCTCACTGTGTCCATCTGTTATTTCAATGTATCCTCCCAATGAGATTTTTCAGCTGGAGAAACTAAGTTAGTTATATAAATTTAGATGACTTCTTACTTCTCATTAGTAATTTCTGCCAGTGGCCAAGCTGGGGAGTGGCTTGATAGCAATGGAGAAGAAGTAACATTGGCCTGGCCACAGTGTCCAGAGTGCTAGAGAACACTGTCCACTGACCACCTAGAGGGTCAGTAGAAGGCGTGGTCTATGAACCATATAAATTACTTTGGACATGCACAACAGTCTCCAACCTGGAAATTCATCCTCATGACCCAGGTGCAAT